GGGGGCAGTCTGGCTGCAGCTTGGTTCTCATGTGTTGAGAAGCAGGAGGTGTGGTTGCACCAAGTCCAGGAAATGCAGTGGGCTGTGCTGGCACGGGGGCTGGCCTGGGCAGCGCTGGGCCTCCTGTCCCGGCACAGAGCTGCGGTTGGAGTGGAGTGTGCTGGTGCCGCTGGGCTGTGGTAGGAGACCCCCACGCACACGTGGGACAGGCCCGGCCTCACCTCCTCCCTGTTCTTCTGTTCCAGCTGAGCTTCGTCTGCGCCCAGATGCCCATGCTTTTCTTCCTGAATTCGTACCTGTACGACCTGAACCACACGCTCTGCAATGTGAAGAACTGCGGTGAGCATCTGCGGAGGGGCGGCATTACCCAGCCAGTGCAGACTGGCTCCTCCTGCCCCGTCCTTATCCTTGCCACTTCCATTCCCCTCACCCCAGCACTCCTGCCTGTTGCTTCCTGACACGTCTCCTGGGCACTGCCCCTGCCCCCTCCTCGTTGCCGGAGCGCCCGCCTTGAGTCCCACGCCCCCCTCTAGGTGGGGCTCTGAGCATCCCCTGCAGGCCGGCTGGGCTGTGACGCCATGTTTGCTCCTCAGGCACGCTGAGCAAAGGCATGCTCCCCGGCTTCAACGCCACCGTGCTGCAGAGCCTGCCACGCAGCATCAACCTCATCATCGTCGAGAGCGTGCTCATGGGCGCGGCCTTCCTCTCCATGCTCATGGTATGGACTGGTGGGGTGGGGCAGCGGGAGCAGGGCCTTCCTCTCCCATGCTCATGGTACGGACCAGCAGGGGAGTGTGTGGGGACCTTCCTTTTCATGCTCATGGTATGGACTGGTGGGGTGGGGCAGCGGGGGCGGGGCCTTCCTCTCCATGCCCATGGTACCGACTGGCGGGGGGGGGGTGGGGGGGGTTCCTCTCCATGCCCATGGTACAGACTGGACCTGTTGAGAAGGGATCGGGGTGGGACCTTCCTCTCCAGGGTCATGGTATGGACCGGTGGGCGGGAATGGGGGCAGGGTTTTCCTCTCCATGCTGTGCCACCCCCTCCATGCTCACCATCCGAGCTCCCCCAGGTGGGTGCGGTGGGGTCAGGGAGCCCATGGTGGGAGCTGTGGAATGGGGCAGTTGCTGGAGAGGGGGATTGGTCTCCTCAGGGCTACGGCCCCCTCAGCTGTCCCCCCACACCCAGCCTGACCCACAGCCCTGGGCAGCTCCTCCCATCACTCCCTAGCTCACCCTGTGCAAGGAGTGGCAGTGCCCCCGCTTGGCGCAGGGTCCCTACCCCTCTGGGTTTCAGGGTCTCCCGTACTCACCCCCCCCCCCCAGGTGCTGATCCTGTGTGGCTCAGCCTATCGCCCCACGGAGGAAATCGACCTGCGCAGCATCGGCTGGGGCAACATCTTCCAGCAGCCCTTCAAGCACATGCGGGACTATCGCCTGCGCCACCTCTTCCCCTTCTTCATCTACAGCGGCTTCGAGGTGCTCTTCGTCTGCACCGGCTTCTCCCTGGTACGGCTGCGCCCCTCTCCGGGGTCCCCCGTAGGAGTTGGGGAGGCCACAGCAGAAGGGGTGGGGTACAGTGCTCTGGTGGGGGGCTGGCACAGGCAAAGGGGTGGGGGGCTGCACTATGGTGGTGAGGCTGCATGCAGAAGGGGTGGGGGGATTGGATGGGGGTGCGCTCTGCTGGGGGAGCAGGGAGGCTGTGCTTTCCTGGGGGAGCAGAAGTGGGAGGGGGGGCTGCACTGGGCTGGGGAGCGGGAGGGGTGGGGGATGGGGGGCTGCACTCTGGTGGGGGGCCGGCCGTGCCATGCTAACCAGCATCTGTCCCTCACCTCAGAATTACGCTGTCTGTGCCATTGGCCTGGAGAAGCTGGCCTACATCATCATGGCCTACGGCTTCTCAGCTGCGGCCTGCTCCAGCCTGACACTGTCCATGCTGCGCCTGCCCCGCCAGGCCCCACTGCTGGCCGGAGCTGCCGTCCATGCCATCCTGCTCATCGGCCTGTTCTGCTGGGCGCCCAAGCCACGTGGCCCAGACCAGGCCCCCCTGCTCTACCTGGTGGCTGCGCTCTGGGGGCTGGGCAGCGCCCTGAACAAGACCAGCCTCAGCAGTGAGTAGCGGGGTCAGCGGAGGTGGGGTGGAGCCCCGGGCCCAATGCCAGCCGGACCCTGCTCATCGCTCCCCATGATACCCCCCCCATGGGGGGGGGGGGTAGCCCAGTGGCTCTGCAATGGGGCTTTGGGTCCGTCTGTGCAGTTGGAAGCCCCCCATCTCCCTGGGCCCCAGTGGACCCAGGAACTGTGACCATGTCCAGCATGGGGGAGGAGCCGCTGTCTGATGCCCGCTGTCTGTCTGTCCGTCTGTCTGTCCCCCCGCAGCGCTCCTGGGAATGCTGTACCAAGACAAGGAGCGCCAGGACTTCGTCTTCACCATCTACCACTGGTGGCAGGCGCTGGCCATCTTTGTGGTGTACCTGTGGTCGGGGCTGCCCATGAAGGTGAGCGGGGGCTGCTCCCAGCCTGCTCTTCAGTGGGGCAGGGCACAGGGGGCTGGGTTCATGGGAGGTGCAGGCCTGACACCACGATCCCCAGGGGGGCAGGGTCCCGAGGGCAGGGGGTGTGGGACAGGAGCTATTTTCTCCAGCCATAGGGGCAATAACCCTGCTCCCCAGTGGGGCTGCAAGGACCTGGAGGCTCGGGCATAATGGGCTGAGACTTTCCTTTGGTTCTGGATCAAACTGGTTAGTCATGGGCCTGGCCCCGGCCTCAGTCAGGACAAGCCCCTTCCTGGAACTGCCTTTCCCATCATTTCCCCCTCTGGGTGAGGCAGGCAGCCTGGCTCAGGTGGTTGTGGGAGAGGGGTGGGCCCAGCTGGTGGGGGGGGGCAGGGGTGGGGGAGAGTCCAGCCCTACCCCTGCTCAGTGTGCTCTCGCCCATCCCCTAGGCCAAGCTGTCCATCATGCTGCTGACCCTGGTGGCCTC